TCATTAAATTTTGTGAGATCATAGGAAGGACATTAATACATAAAAAACTACGATCCTTAAACAAGCCAACCAGCACTGCCACTATCAAAACCAGTAAAGAGAGAATTGCAATGTTAAAGCAAAACAATAACTATCCTGTTAATATACAAACCAGGGCTGGCTTTCCACGATTGCTCGAGTCTGGGACGCGAAAACGACAACATACTTAGTAGCCGATAGTATCATCTTTTCCCAATCTGCTATTCTTCTGAAACGAGCACGATAAAATCATACCTTACAGACTTCCACGAGCATTCTGTCTCCACCATCGCGGACGGATGCTGGCAATGAAAGGAAATATTTTGTTTTGAGGAAATCGGTTGGTTTCGCTAGATCTTCGATGATCGGCGATATATTTGATGATGTATTCGAATGATGAAAGGTCAGATTCATGACAAGGAGAACGAGACGGTTTTGATTATGTATTTTGGATCCCAAACGGTGGTTGGCGATCATAGGTGGTCGGTGACTGAGAGTGGAGAGCACATATCTAAGGCTTAGAGAAGGAAAGAAATAAGGGAGGAAACTTAAAATGGGGATATATATTTGCTTTCAAAACTACGTAATTTTGGGTAGTAGAAGAAAGAAAAGGAGAAATCACAACTTTGTCCTCTGACGTAAAAACAACTAGCATCCACGTAAATAGAAATATTTGTTCCGTTAGTTATAATGGTCAACGGTATAATTTGATGCAATTAAACAACTTCAAAGGCTAAATTGATGCGAAAATATGATAGGAGAAAAAGTGATAAATTTGGTCTACTACAAAGATAACTCTGACCCCTAATCCTAAAGTAAATAAGATAGAAAAATTCAATAGAGATGATATAAGCTTAAGTTTTGCTTAGCCTCAATTTCGATTGATCATCGAAATAAAATTTTCCCTTTGTGATATATGTCAGTTACAGTCAACATGACTCAACCCCTACAGCTAACTCTTCTCTCCGGTTAACATAAATTTTCAGGTCTATCTCCCAAGTTTGATCTTTGTTGGTCTAGCCTAGTCTATCACCGTTAGATCCAAAAATAGCTTTAAGATCTAGAAAAGCCTGATTCGAATTATAACGTCTCACTGAGAATCAAACTCAATCTTTATTCCCCTTAACGGACCGCTGCTAAGTTTGTTCACAGAAAATCAAATTACGACCAACCAATTCGACTGCCAAACTTCAAGCAAAACATTTTTCAAATCAACGTGCACCTTTTGAGTTAAAGATGTAATAACTTTTAAGAGAATGGTCGATTGTCACTCCCAGTTTCTAGAGAATCAAAGAATACAATCTAAAGGTATGAAGATCAAGACTCAATTCTCACGATTAGAATGCGAAGAATTGAGTCTTGTAAAAACCCTTGGTTAATTCGAAGTTTAGCTAAGTATAAATTGGATCATGCTTAACACTGAAGAAAATAATGAAGAAAATAACAAAGAAAATGAAGAAAAGTGGAGATGAAATAAAAGAATGACTTCAATAATTAACTAAGGAAAATAAATTTTAATATGGTTTTCAACTATTGAACCTGCTTCATCTTTTAGATAATATTGTCTTAAGTAAATTTCAAATTAAATATTTAAAATAATTATACTCGTATTCTAGAAGATGCTAATTGGACTGTCGAAATCTACTGATTTTTGGGTTAACTAATCCTATGAGGCTCCTATTCAAAATAAGCCCAAAATACAAATAAATCAGTAATATGCAAGTGATAAATGAGAGGGAAATAATAATAAAAATATACAATATTAAACTCCCATTTTCCCACTATATAACTGATGTAAAGTGTTTTAAATATCAGAAGCACTGCTAAGGCCGATTAAGTGAGGCAAAACAATCTCACTAATTGTAGACAATAATCACGTAGCAAGAGTGCCATCTCGCTCTTTAAACAATTCAAATTCCAGATTAATTCTAAATACACCAGTCTGACTTATGTACTGAGGTGGACATGTAAGCTTGTTGTCATTGTATTTTAAGAATCTATGAGTCTTAATGGTCCAGAAAACGTGCTGGTGCCAAAGTAAGTAGTCGTGATCATCTAAAGTCACATTAATTTTCTTGGTGGAAAAGAGACTACTAATGCCAAGATAACCTATACTGGAAGTAGTGGCATTAGTGATAGTTTGAAAAGGAGGCTAATGAGTAACACCATTACCATTATTATCTGGATGCAAACCATTATCACCAGGTTGATTAGAGGTTGATTGTGTCAGGAAGAAGAATAAAAAAAACAAGTAGAGAGGAAATAAAAGCGAAAGTAGAAATTCAGTCAACAGAACTAACCAAAAGCAACCATAGATGAAGAACCAAAAAACGGCTGAGAACAAGGTAGAGAAGATCACAAGCACATAACAAACTCTCAATTGACAGAAGAATCACAAATTCTAGGCTATAACAATGATGATGAAGAGCTCAATAAAGTAAAGGGGCAGAAATCACCAAAGGTAAATTCGAGATGATCAATAGAAAAAGCAACATAAAAAACGCAAAGAAGACAATTGACGAGAGCTTTCAACAAGAACACAACTGAGGCAGGAGTGGAGGCGGAGGAACACCGCACACGAACGATACCATGATAGAAAAAGACAGAAGCAGAGTAAATTATCATCTAAATATTGAGCTTCGAAGAACAAACAACGCAAAGAGAATAACACAGAGCTCTAGGGATTTTGACCAAGTAATTTTGACTAATTATAAATATAATTTTGATTTCATGCTTAACGGACAAAGGCTCAAATACATTGATTATGTATAGCATAACTTAGAGTGGGCTAACCAATTCTAATAAACTCTTAAGTGAGTCATAATAAAAAAACTCGACAGATTTGAATATTCTTAATTAAATCTTTCTCATAATTTTTTAAAATTCCTACTGAGTTTGTTAATATCAAAAATTTTAGCTATACCCACTATTTTTTGAAAAAAATGTAATTGAACCTTTTAAAATTTTTGAAAATTTTAATTTAAATCTCTAAATTTTTTAAAATTTTAAATTGTACTCCAAACTCTATCACCACGTTGTGTTATTGTAAACAACTAAGTTTTATATTATTATAATACTCTAATAATGACTTCATGTATACGTCATTATAAGCAAAATGCCTGGAAAATATAAATAAATATCTATTTTATAAATTCACCTTCCTTTTTTAATTTCGAAGTTTCAAGTACTCCTCGGAGACTTCACCTTTCCAAAGATACATAGAAGAAAGCAAAATCAGTTGACTAAATACGTTTTATGATTTGGGGTTGATTGACATATTTTTTTGCCATTAACGTTGAAAAAGTCCAAAATAAAAATAAAGTCCATTTCTTTTTAAGATTTTGAGCACTGCGCATTTAATATATAAGCTAACGAAAATATTCTTCTCCATAAATACAGAAAGCTAGTACAAAGTCGACATTTGACAATACCTAAATCAAAATAAAGTTTAATTTGATAACGTAATTCTAGAAAAATTGATACAAAAATAAGCGTCTGAATTATGTATAGAAAAAAGTTTTACTGTTTAAAGAATTTTTCGTTAAAATTAGATATCTAACATTTTATCAGATATACTTTTAGATGTTCACCGTTCATTTTTAATTTTTTTTAATAATAAAAATATTATTTTAAATTAAAAATAAAAAATATTTATAAAAATCCCAACTTTTTATTGAAATTATAAAAAACTGTAAAAAAAATAAAATCTCTCATTTCAACCCAATTTTACCAATCGTCGTCGGTTATCTCTGGCCACTATCGTCATCGCTGAACGGTCTCCCACCCGTCGCTAGGGGTGTTCAAACGGGTAATTCGGTTAACTGACCGAACCAAATAACTCATATTTCATTAACTGAATTTTTTCCCATTAATCGTTAACAGAACCAAAGTTTTTCCAAAAAAAAATTTAATCAAACCGAATTGAGTTTGGTTAATTGACCGGTTAACCGAATTAATCGAAATTTATAAAAAATATAAATAATATATATTTAATATTTTTGATTTATTATGTTAATTTGGTTAAAACCGATTTAAACATTCCTAAAGCTAAATAATATATATATATATATAATAAATTTCGGTTAATTAAACGATTTCAAACCGAAATTAACCGAATTAACCAAAACCAGAGTTAAAAAAAACCATTAATCGTTAACCAACCGAACCCAAAATTAACCAACAGATTAACTGACTGAAATTTTAGTTCGGTTGGTTAATTCGGTTTTACCCAAAGTAATGAACACCCCTACCTGTCGTCACCCACCCATTGATCAATTGCCGTCCTTACCGTGACAAAGAAACACTAAATCTAAAACCCACAAAATGCAAATCCTTAATTCCCAGATTCAATTTCCTAACCCAAACGGTCGTCGGTCATCTCCGACCATCATCGTCATCATCGAATGGTTCGTTTTTTATTGGAATTGAACGGTGGTTCGAATGGTGGCGATAGTGTAGCTTGTGGATATCGAAATCGGTCGGAATTGATGAAAAATGATGGTGGTATCCGACGAACCTTTGAATGATTCTCCATGACAAATGGTGGCATATTACGACGAAAGGTTAATGAGAGTTTGATCGGGGGGTCGACGCCGATGTTGATGGCGGTGGTGGTTATTGTTGATCGACTGACAACTATGGGAAAGGGGAAGGGAAAATGGAGAACTGAGGGAGAACAGGGGCTGATGATATTGTTCAGTTTTTTTAAATAATATTTTTATTTTTAAAATAAAATTCTTAAAATTATCATAACATGACACGTGTCGTCATTTAGCGGAGATATTTAACGACAGTTAAAGTCCAGACATAAAAAATATAACGTTTAAGATTTTAGACATTTATTTTTAATAAAAAATTCTTTAGGTACTAAAATATTTATGGAGAGGTGGTTCGTACACTTATTTTGTATTAAGCCTTCTAAAAAAATAAAAACTGTTAAAAGGCCTACACAACTTTACCCGAAGTCTAATTACCAGAAATTTGCTTAGAAACGATGAAATGGCTAGAAATCAAGACAACAACAAAACAAAGCAAATGCTAGTACTAAAATAACCAAATCTTGGGGTTTTCACCAAATGAAGCAAAGTTTCATGCAAAAATATTGCACCATTATTATTCATGCAAACTTGATTCTAACTCTTCAAGCTCACTAATCAACCGGATTCCAAAATCCCTCGACATCCCAGAATGAATATTCATGGTCGCCGGCATCGATCATCTTTGACGAGTTATCCTCTTCCCCTGTTTGAATACTTTGATTGATAGGGATTGACTCTCCTGTCTTCAATATCGCCGGTGGTGGCCGCCTGTCGAATGTTCTCAAACATTTGGATTTCTTATAAACTCGGCATAAGCTGAATTCTTGTCTTAACTGTTAGAAAAAATAGAGAACATCACATAAAATTTATTCATTAATTTATGATTATAAGCTGAATTCTTGTCTTAACTGTTAGAAAAAATAGAGAACATCACATAAAATTTATTCATGAATTCTTGTCTTATTGGTATTTATGGGATTAATACAATCTTATTAATGGATATTTCATCTCTTTCGAAGAAAGTTTGTAAAGTGTTGTCTGTCAGGAAAATGTATAAAGGCCTTGTCTATACGCTATAGGTTTTCTGTCCAAAGGAACCAGGTTTTTTGGAGGCTAGGTGAACGGAGGAATCGACTTGTAGTTCCGGGTTGACAGAGGACTGATAGTTTTCGAAGGTCACTCTCCGAAAGTATAATATACACCCTAAAAATACAATATCAGACGAACTTCTATGCAATAAAATTAATTAAGGATATATAGGGAAGCTTAATTAAGAAGTAACGAATTTGGAGAACTTACAGTTGGAGGTGCAGTGCCACTATCCGAGGATGCTTGGCCTTGAATAGCTTTATATTCGTTCATTTTCCAGTCAGTTTTCCTGCCATTAGGGGCCCTTCCATTGTAGAAGACCATGGTTCGCTTTACGCCGATGGGGCGACTGTTGAAAGAGTAAACGTAACCAGGAGAACCAGTGGCTTTCCAGTACCCACAAGTTGTTAGCCGCTTCGGTCTCCCTCCTTGAGCTTCACTCTCTTGCCTTGGTATGAAGAAAAACCATTGCTCCGGGTCATTATGACATAGGTAAACTGAGAATTCTGCAAATTAAATATCAGTTCATCAGAAACATATATATCTATATGTTTATGTAAATAAAAGGAAAAAAATAAAATAAAATACTAATCCCCCTCAAACTTTTGTTAGTTTTATTCAGGAGATGAAATATTTACGAGGAAGATCCCATGGATTGTAATCATAAATGTGGACAACTGGTATAACACGGTTCATAACATGGTTGAGATCATCTCTGTTCGATTCTAACTTGTTATGGAGATAAAACGAAACCAACTCTTCTTCAGTTGGATAGAACCGAAACCCTGGTGGCATATCCTCCATTTTCACTCTCTTTTTCTTTCCTCCTCTCTGATATTCAAATATATTTGCTCTTACATAGCTGGTGTTCATTCATGGAAGCGTGAGCTATATATATATATGGTTACGGTTGTAATTTATAGAGCATCGATTAATGGGGAGTTAGGCAAGAGAGAAGAAATGAGCGAGAAAGAAGCGAGGGGACGTGCGCATTACTCAGAAACTTCCACGCGCTTTACCATGGAAACGAAAACATCTGTTCCTCAGTTCACACTCTATTTGTTATTATGGTCTAATTCTGAATTTCAGCCCTCTATTTTACAGTGATTGAGAACTTAGTTCGTTAATTTAGTTTTCATATTTTACAAAAAATTTAAAATCAGTTTAATTGTTTTCACACCGTTAAACCTTGTTATTTAATTAAGATCTTGAAATTTAATAATTCATTAATTTATATGTAGGAAATTAATAAAAATATGAACATACAATAAACTAACAAAAATCGGCCATTTCAGTTTGACGTGTTTATCAAAAACTAAATAAAATTTCCAATTTTCGTAAAAAAAATGGATTCTGACGTTATTAATGTGTTCAATGAATGGACTAATTGATCATTTTTCTAGGAAGTAGAGAGATGAAATTTGAATTAGACCTTTGTCAACATTGTTGCTTGGAAGCGGTCAATATATTCCATGAAACAAAGCGTACACTTGTCTTTGATGCTGTAGGAGTGAATAAACAATAGATTTCTATATTGTACGGAAATTAATTTTATTAGACTTGTAAATGCTATGTTCGCGGTTCAGTTTTTTAAGTTTATATTTAGTTTTGATTTGATGTAATTATACAAACAAAATTTTATTTTATTATGATTCAATTGTATAAATTAAATATATATATATATATATATATATATTAAATTAATATAATTATTTTAATTAGTGTATAGGTTTGAACTTTATCACTTCCTATACTGTCAATTCATATATTGGTATTATTAGGTTTCTGATTGAGTTGGTGTTAAAAAGTTCTCAATCAAAAACTGAATTATTATTTAATATAATTTATATATATAAATTCTATACTACTTGGTCTATAATAATTATTTAAATAATTAAAAATATTTTTAACCCACAACCTAGATATAAAAAAAATCCATTTTTTGTAATATTTTGCATCAATAATATAAACAATACTAAGAATAGTGATTCGCTTATATTAGTCCAAAACTAAATTATTAGACATTTCTATAACCTCGAATATAATTTAAATTTTAACAAATCTATAGTTAATTTAGTACAAAAAAATAACTATATTTTCATACAAATAAAAATATCTATATTTAGAGAAAAAATTGCAACACCCTCGTACTGATACAGGTGACCCGATCTGATCCGATGTGTCACATTTGTGCCACCAGAACGACCCACAATAAAAATTTAGGAAAATTTAAACTTTTTGTTGATCCATTTAAAACTGCAAAATAATTTATGGATAAAATACAAGTTCATACTCAGTATATATAAAAAAATCAAATGTGACATACATACTCCCTAATTACACTTGTACAGTACTCTACCAACACAACCAAAGGAACTCCAATTTCAGAGGTTGATAGCTGAAGTGGATCAATTCTTTTAACCTGAAACGATGAATAAAAGAGTGAGCTTTGGAAAGCTCAGTAATACAGAACTACCAAATAATGCTGAAAGACATGCAGATAAATGGAAAAGCATAAATTTTCCTTATTGAATCAGACGTCTACATGTTTTCGGGATGAGCTGAGGTTCCACATATATTTCTTTGAGTAAAAGACATGAAGATTTCGGTTAAGAGGAAACATTCGAGGACCAAGTTCAGGAGATCGAAATAGGATGTCTAGTGTGTTCTAACCAAAACCATTGAAAAGGTACATATCTTTTTAAAACAATAACACTTTAAAACATATTTTTAAGACCACAGTCAAACCCTCCAACCGAACACCAATATGCAGTTCCCCAGAACTGCATCCATAAAGACTTACTTAGGCCCATTGGGCGTAGGTGCCAACCTAAGGGAGCACCTTGGGTCCATAAGGTCTTACCCTAGCTGAAACATAGGTGCCCACCTAAGGGGAGTGCCCTCAAGCCCATAAGGACTTAACCAATGCACACAGTAGAGGATCCAGCCTAAGGGAGTACCTTAGGGTCCATAAGGTCTTACCACTAGGACATTGGGCATAGGAGCCCACCCAAGGGTCATCTTAGGTCCATAAGGAATTACCAGCTCGATCTGTCTAAACCTATATAAGGAATTACCAGTTTGACCGAAGCTGAACCTGTAATAAGGAATTACCAGTTGATTGATATTGAACATATATAAAGAATTACCAGCTTGATCAGAACTGAACCTGCAGAGACTTCATATCAGATCCCATAGTACCCCGAAGAAAAATATTTTTCATATAGTAACCAGTGGTAGCAATAAATCAGAGTCCATACATATCAATTCAGTAGAAACGGTATCCAGAGATCATGAATCATACATGCATGCTTAAAACTTTAGTGACTAAGAAATCTCGATAAAACACATTTTAAAAATTATAAAACAATTATATAACACATAGGGAGCACACTAGAAGATCCAATTATTTTATGAATGTACTTGGTAATTATCAAGTGAGGTGAACATGAAACTTCTTCAATCGATCGAACTTAAGGAATGAGATCCCTTTTTTAAAAAAAGTTGGATTACTAACAGACTGGTCAGTCATTAGGATAGGGATACATTAATATCATATAATATCCATATATAACCCTAGGATGTGTCAGAAACTGCTACATCATATTTATTTAAGATTTGGATATTCGTGTGATGATTCTATAAATAATACACACGTAAGGGCATTATTGTCATTTAAATTCCTAAGAAATTTTGGTAATTCAGTTTAATAAAGGTAAACAGTGATTTACAGTATTTCAGATTTCAGGTGTCTTATCCAGCTTCCAAATCTAGTATAACTTATCAAATCCAAATAATGTGGTACTTACCGAGTTTGCGGGTAGAGTAGTCTCACGAATATTCATTTCTTAGTACTAATTGCGTCATAGAGTTGAGTTGAGCACTTTCAGAATTATCGTTGAACAAACCTCGAGGAGACGAACATGTATTCTGTCATTCCATGACTTGGGGGTATTCTTAGGTTATTTACCCTTCAGGGGCATTTTTGGTCGTTTTATAGTTTAAGGGTATTAAGTTATTTTCTTTAATTCAAACGTATGAATCATTCTAGTAATTTATTTATCACGTTGTTTTATCCAAAAACCAAAAATTCTAAATCTTTTGCCATCTTTGAGGTTAAAATCGGTTATCCAGGATTTTCTAAGTAAAACTAGCATTTTCCATGTACATCAGTAGTTTCATCGGATCAATATGTCTTTTCAGAGTTATTTTTCTACTTTTAGGGACAATTCTTGACTTTTTACAATATAAGGGTATTTTCATAATTTTTCCCCATAAGGGTGTTTTTGAAATTTTACCTAACAGAAGTATTTTTACAATTTCTTATCCAAGTACCTTTGGCATTTAACCTTTAAAGAGATAAATTAGAATTTACAGATCCTTAGGATGATTGATTTACCACTTAATCACAGAACTTGTAATTTCATTCCTATCGGTCTCCCAATTTCTTATACGAGTCATCTGAGTCATATTCAGTTACCGACTTTTTACCATATTCGGATCGATTTTAGAAATAATTAACTATACAGATGAGACCAAACATATTCATCCATGCATTTACCAATACCAACATGTTCCATAAAGCATGCATAAGGTAGTAATGTATTACCTTGATTTTCGTGCTCCAACAATCAAACATTTAAACTCCATTCGATCACTCTCGAACTTGAATCCAACGTCCAATAATATCTAAGATACATATAAACATAAATTATATCAGAAACGATGATTAATTGCGGAAAACGAATCGAGACGGAAGGTAAAATGTTGAAAAATATCTTATCATGTTTGAATTTGGGGAAACAAACTTCAGATTCAGACTCAGGACATCAAAAAACATAAAACACGACTTTTCATAAATTTTGACTTTTTGGGTCAAAGTTAACGGTCAAAGTCAATGGGTCAGGTTAAATTCAATGGGTCAAGTTGGGTTGACTCAATTCGGGACAAACACACCCGGTTCAGACCGGGTTAGCCGGTTCAGGCCTCTTGGACCGGTTCTAGATGGAACCAGAGTTGTGGACGAGCCCCACGCCTACACAGTGATGTATGGCGACGGCGAGGTGTCAGGGGACAACTTTCTATTACTCTTACGACTTCAATTAACCAATTACAATCGGATAAAGCCAAATATCAGCCAAAACCATGCCAAAAATATCTGAAATATAACCGGGGCTTACCAAAGACGGCGGTAAACGACGGGACGATTTTTTGCCGACAAACTCTGTCGGGTTTTGGTCGCACGGAGCTGGGGATTCTGGTGCTCGGGGCGGTGAGGCGGATCGATGAGAGAAGTGGTCGGAATTGTCAAAAAATCGAGCGGCGGGGTGAGGGTTTTCGACTAAACTTCTTTAACGTCTCCATGGAAAACGACGGGTCCTTTTGACAAATTGGCAGAGGGATTTTAGTCGAATGACGACGGCGTCTTCACTGGAGGTGGTAATAACACATACTACCGATCGGAGGAGGAGGAACCGAGAAGGGCGACGAATATGCTTAGTTTGGGGTTTGGGAAATTTAGGGTTTCAAATTTGATTTGGGGTTTTAAAATATAAAATCCGGGCCAAAAATATCAAATATATTTTTAATTAATTTACTCTCAAATAGTGACTTAGGCTAGATGGCTTTGGCATGGGTAACTATCCCTTAGGTCACAGGTTCAAGTGTCTTTAGAAACCCAATTTCCATTTTTTTTCAGCAGACCAAAAAAATGGGATAATTCCAAGTTTAGCCTCTAACTCCCTAAAAGTTCAAATCTAGGCAGCAAAGTTTTCAATCTTTCAATTTAGTCCCTAATTTCATTAAATGTGGGGTGTTACAAAAATTATGAAAAACACTACTACGAGAGAATCTACTACGCCGAGAGGAAGTACGATTGCACCTCCT